GAAGTAATCAAATAATGGCATGATCCCCCTTTACCTAATGTCAAAGATTTTTCTTTTTAAGCTACTTCTCAACTAGATATTTGTGTATATCAAAATTCTAAAAAATAAAATGTCTTTTGGATTGCCTGCAAAAAAGAAAAAAAATTAATTTGTGAACAGATGAGGACTTTTCCAAAAATATTAATTTGTGAAGAAATGTCTTTTGGATTGCCTTTTGAATTTAATTAGTATAAAAAATGCGATATGTTTTCTATTAACCCATCCAACAGGAAAATTCTGCAATTCTTGAAATAGTGTAAAGACCTCTCAGACTTGTAAAGTTTAAGGGACAATGATCCATTAGATGCACAGCTCAACCCATCAGAAGCGAGTCAGCCTCTAAAATATCATCAACAACCCAATGAAGTTGAGGCACCACAGAGAGGATGGCAAGAAAGTTCTTCAATCTTGATTAAAAAAAAGGCTTTTTGATAGTTGATTTTGAATTATAATGATCTTTAAAAAGTTAAGAAATGAAATCCTTACAATTATACAAAGACAAAAAGGAAAGGCGAAAGCAAATAGTTGCAAGTGGTAGCTCACTTGTGACCTGACCATGTCAGCTTAAATGGGTGCTTGATTATTCATATGTTCTTTCAATTATTCATATTTTGAGGTTTCATGATGCTTTAAGCATTGTTAAATCGTACTTCAGTTATTCTTATTTTTTTGCAACTATTTCTTTGCCTTTGGTTCTTACCTCCCATGTTTTTTTATTATTTTTTGTCCTTTGCATTTCGTTCAACGTGTTGGCAGACTAGTGGATGCTATGACTAATTTAGATTTTTTTAATGCTTAGAGAAACACTGTGTTTTATATACAACCTCTAGATTGTGTAAACTTCTGCTCTTCTTTTGTTTATATTCACTGAAATCAAATAGTCCTTTGCGTTTCTTTTGTTTTTTGACTTGCTTTCCATATTTTGAATGTTCATTAGGTTTTTAATTGACAAATAATCTTGCCAGGAAAATGGAGGATACATCATGTACTCAACCGACTGTGAAAGTCAATATTGAGAATGCTGCCTCAGATACAGAAAGTGGAGATAATACGAATGATGAAAAACGACAACGTACTTTCACATCAGAGGTATGAGATTTTTTTAGAAAGTATGTAAATCAAGACAATATTTTAAAGGCACAATGCAACAAATGTAAAATTGAGTACAATGCTGCTAGTAACTATGAGACTGATAATTTATGGCGTCATTTAAAGACTTGTTTGAAACAACATGATGTGAGCCAGATGATTTTAAGTCAAAGTCAAGAGTCTATTACTGCACGGTCTTTGAAGTTTAACGAGAAAAATTTTTGAGAGATGTTAATACGTGCAATAATTAGACATGATTTGCCCTTTCAATTCGTTGAGTATGAATGTGTTAGACAAATCTTTAGCTACTTAAATCTAGATGTCAAATTCATTACAAGAAACACGGCTAAGACTGATATTCTGAAATTGCATGCAAAAGAGATGTGTAGGTTGTCTATTATCTTGCATGAAATACCTGGCCGGATTGGTTTGACTTCTGATTTGTGGACATCTATTGCTACCTATGGGTATTTAAGTTTCACAGCACATTTCATCGACAAAGATTGGGTATTGTAAAAAAGAATTCTAAATTTCTCTTACATGCCTCCTCCACACAGTGACATTGCACTGGCTGACAAGATTTATGGTTTGTTGACAAAATGTGGGGTTGAGAAAAAGTTGTTTTCAATTACTTTGGATAATGCTTCTGCAAATGATGTCATGGTTGATATGCTTAAGAATCAACTTAATTTGATAGATGTTTTGCTTGGTGATAGTAAATTTTTTCATATTCGTTGTTGTGCTCATATTCTAAACTTGATTGTGTAAGAGGGGGTTGAAAGAAGTAGATTTAGTTGTGGAAAAAGTCAGAGAGAGTGTCAAGTATGTAAAAGGTTCTCAGACAAGAAAACAAAATTTTTAGAGTGTGTTGCATAGACATCTTTAGATATCAAAAAAAGTTTGAGGCAAGATGTTCCTACTAGATGGAACTTAACATATTTGATGCTTGCAAGTGCAATTTACTACCGTCATGCCTTTTGTCATTTTGCAACTTGTGGATTCTAATTTTAAGCACTGCTCATCTCAAGAGGAATGGATCAAAGTTGAAAAGATTCAGATGTTTTTAAAAAATTTCTATGATACTACTGCTATCTTTTCTGGCTCCAAGTACCCTACATCAAACTTGTATTTTCAACAAGTTTTCAATATTCAATTGACTTTGAATAGAGAAATGCAAAATATGAATACTTTTATGAGAAGAATGTCTTGTCAAATGTATGGAAAATTTGAGAAGTATTGGTTGGAGTATAGCGTTATATTGGTCATTGCAATTGTGTTTGATCCTCGTTATAAACTTGATTTTGTGGAGTGATGTTATAAGAAACTTTATGGTAAAGGCTCTCTTGAGTACTTTCATATTCGAGACAAACTTTTTTTTCTATTTGATGAGTATATGAGCAAATCTGTTGTCACCTGTTCTTCTCAAGCATCGACTGTTCCTCGTGGTGGTCTAATTGCTTGTGAGCCACAACCTGTGTTAGATTTGAAGGTATTTAATTTTTTATTTTATAGTTTTTATTATATTAGATTAATACTATTGATAGTCTATGATTTGAAAGTCTGTGATTTTGATAATGTAAGCATTTGTCATTGACAGCAATGCATCCAATCTTAAAACACAAAAAAGTCAATTGCAATTGTATTTAGATGAGTCTAGGGTTGGCATAGAAACAAAACTTCTTGTTCTTGATTATTGGAGAGCTCATTAGTATTGTTATCCAAAACCTGCTATGATGGCTCGTGATGTGTTAACTATTTCAATTTCTATGGTTGCTTCAGAATCAACTTTTAGTATTGGTGGTCGGGTTCTTGACCAATACCGTAATGCTTTGAAGCCTCACGTTGTGGAGGCCTTGATGTGCACTAAAGATTGGTTATGTGCAGAAAAAGGTAACAAATATAATTTGTGATAATTGCGATATTTAAATATTCTTACAAATATTAAATTCTTATTTACATGCTTTCCTTATTGTCATTTAGAAAATTCACAAGTGCAATTGGAAGAGCTGATAGAAGATGTTATAAATCCGACTTTGAACAAAAATGAGGAGAATGCGTCGGTGCAATGTTCAAATGTGATTGTGGATCTTGATTGTTGATGTGTGTGAGTCATAAAACTTAAACTCTTTTTCTCAATCTTATGTGTTTGTTGATGTGTGTTGAGTCATAAAACCTAACTCTTTTTATGTGGGCTTTTTATAAGGGATAGTGGATCTTGATTGTTGATGTTGGCCAGATTTAAGAGATGAAGAGAATTTGAAAGATGCTTGTAATATTGCTTGGGGATTTTAGTAAAACTTTTTGAATATTTGTAATATTAAGGAGATTTGTATTTGTTTTTGGGATATTTGTGATGTTTTAGCCTTTGTTTTATGTAGACTTGTATTTGAGATATTTGTAACATATCTAAATTTTTTTTTTTTTGTTATGTCATGTCGGGTTGGGTTGCGTTTACCCGAACATGACCTGTGTAAATCTCGAGTCACAAGTCGTGTCAAGTTAATCATGTTTCGAGTCAGGTCGTGTTCGTGTCTAAATGACCTAACTCATTTAGCTCGCAGGTCGTGTTTGGGTTGATGTATTTTCAACCCGAACCCGATATGACACGACCCCATGACAACATGACACGATTGCCACCCTTACCAACATCAATCCAACACATCATATCGTTATTAGAGATTGTGGATGTGACTTTTACATAGAAAATTTTTGTTGTCGCATTCGTCTATTGGGAATTAAAGAAATAAGAGGGAAATATTGAGAAGATGAATAAGGCCATGATTTAATTATCCATTTACATGTGTTACCAACAGACCTTTGGTCCAAGAATATTTCTTACCTTGTGAAGGTTTTACTTCTTGAGGTCAAGAGTTTAAGTCTTCCTTCTCTTTCTCCTTCTCCTTCTCCCTTCCTCCAAAAAAAAAATTAAAAAAAAAAAAACATATGTGTTGAGAAAGGATGAGGGTGAAAATAATTTATGATTTAGTGTTAAATGATAATTAACAGGTTAATTATAGAAAGAATAAATTTGATAAGGTGAGAAAGGATATTTACCGGTGAGAATAGCCTCACCCACCTAAGTGCTACGTTAAGTGAGTCGTTGGATGCATAAAAATCCAAATATAATTGTCCAATTAGAATATTGTCTATTTACAAGGCTAAGCCCATTATTGTTTGTGTTGGACATTAGTTTAAGCCTTTAGATGATGATGGACTACACACAAGGCTAAGCCCATTATCTAATGCATATTAAGATAAAAAAAAATCTCCAATATTGGAAGTGTACCAAAAAAGGATTGATAACTCTTCAAAACTCGATTCGTTTACATGCCTAAATATTTGAATTTTCTTTCATAAATAATTCAATCCGTTTTGTATAAAATCAGATTTATTATTAAAATAAATCCCACGGACTAAGTTTATATTAAAATTTTTTGTTAAATTATGTGTGAAAATTGGGAAAAAATCATTAACGAATGATTAATGTTATTTAAATTTAATTTTTTGATCTTATTTGTTGATTTAATCTATTGAATGTTAACGATAAACCTGTTATTAGTTAAGACCCGTTAGTAATTCAATAATTAAAATACACTAATTCAATTAATTAACAAATTAAGCACAAAAGGTTTGAACCTTGGTCTTCCACTCTCCTTCATTGGTTCAGTCCTTGGTGCACGCCTTGAGCGCACGTTAGCAGTGTGTATAGTGCAATATTAGCGTGCGCATCACCACCAACAAGAATTCAAGAATTCCCTCCATTTCATACCCACCCTATTTTCAACTCTCAGTAAATTCTCTCTCTCTCTCTCTCTCTCTCTCTCATACACACACACAGCAACACACAAAGTCTTCTCCCTCATTCATCAGACATGGCGTCGTCCTCTCATGGGGGCGCATCACTCCCCTCCGGCCCTGACGCTACAAATCGCCGAGTAACATATTTCTACGACCCCGACATTGGTACCTACTACTACGGCAAGGGACACCCTATGAAACCCCAACGAATCCGTATGGCCCACAGCTTAATCGTCAACTACGGTCTCGACCGTCGGATGGAGATCCTCCACCCATTCCCCGCCGGGCCTAACGTCCTCAAACGGTACCACTCCGACGACTACGTGGACTTCCTGTCAACCATCACACCCTATGCTCCCCGTGACAACAAATTCACTTACACCCTCAGGACATTCAATGTGGGTTATAAAAACGATTGTCCGATCTTTCATGGGCTTTTTGATTTCTGTAAATCCTCCGTTGGTGGGTCGATTGGGGCTGCTGTGAAGCTTAATATGAAGGAAGCTGATATTGCGGTGAATTGGGCTGGTGGATTGCACCATGCCAAGCGAAGTTGGGCATCTGGGTTTTGTTATACTAATGATATTGTATTGGGTATTCTTGAGCTCCTCAAAGTTCATACGGTATTGTTTTTCATCTACAAACAATCTTGATTTGTTTAATTTGATTATACGGCTTTATTTTCTCTCACTTGTTCAAGATTTTGTGTTTTGTGTTCGGTACTGGATGAATGTTGGGCCTCTTTTATTTCTTGGCGTGACATTTGGTTTTGGATAATTTGATGTTAGATGATTTTGTGTGATTTCTTTTATGTTGGTTCGTTTCTTTATTAGTATAATAGAAATTCTCGACCATTTTTTGTTTTACGTTTCTGCAGCAGTTTTGTTTGCACAAATACAATATTTTGGGTTTTCACTCTCTGCATGTACAACATATTCGAGTTTTGTTGGTGAGTTTGTGTGATGTTTTGGTAGTTGCAATTCTTCTCAAGTTGCAGGAATGGTACAGATAAACCACATTTATTTTTTGTTTATGGTTTCAGTACAGCTAGAATATTCATTCTTGATTTCTTAAATTCAAGTAAATGTATGATTGTATGGTTTTTCAAGATTTTTTTTTTGTTTTTCAGTTTGTTGTTATTTTAATCTTCCAAGATAAATATTTTATAAAACAAAGGATTCTAGTACTCAGAATTTATTATACTTGCTTTTTTCTGTGTCCCATTCTTCTCTGTTTTTTTTAATATTCATGTCACCCCTTCCTCATGTAAATGTAACAAAGTATCAATTTCTTTTCTATTTTGGAGAACTTCTTGGTAGTTATAGAAAAAATTTCTCTCTATATATGTGTTTTATAGATATACATACGCAATGTCATTGTGTGCATCAATTAGTTTTGCATTGTTCTATGAGCATCTGCCCACATAATGCAGAGTAAAATGTGATGATAGTGAAGTTATGTGGATTCAAATCAGCTTGCTTATGGCCTTAATTAACTGCTATACTTTTTGGTGAATAGTTAATTTAATGGAAAGAAATAGTGGTAGATGAAAATCACAACTATCCTTGAGGGACTAATATGTGGTAGTGTGTTTTCTAGCATGGTCTAATGTTTTGTGCAGTTTACTATGTCCATTTATGTAATGCTTTATTTGGTTTTTTGCCTTGCTAGTTAATCTTGAGCAAGATTCTCATTGTTCACTGTTATTGTCCCCTTCTCAAGATGGCTTCTGTACTCTGCAAGATTTGTGCAGAATTTTACTCTGCATGTCATTTTGTATAGGCGTTTCCATTTATCTATTCACACAATATTTAATCCACGTCAAGTTTTACACATTTGTTGCTAGAATCCTATTTAGGTAGTCATGAATTCATTCTCTCTCTAATCAACTTAATGTTATTATGCAGCGTGTTTTGTATGTAGACATAGACGTCCATCATGGAGATGGTGTTGAGGAGGCATTTTACATCACTGACAGAGTCATGACTGTGTCTTTTCATAAATTTGGAAACTTCTTCCCTGGAACTGGACACGTTGAAGACATCGGGGCAGGTCAGGGAAAGTACTATTCACTAAATGTCCCGTTGCAGGATGGAATAGATGATGAGAGCTTTCGTGGTCTATTTCGCCCAATCATCCAAAAAGTTATGGAGATGTATCAGCCTGATGCGGTTGTTCTCCAATGTGGGGCAGATTCATTGGCTGGTGACAGATTAGGCCGCTTCAACTTGACTGTAAAAGGCCATGCAGATTGCCTTCATTTCCTTAGGTCTTTTAATGTCCCTCTAATGATTTTGGGTGGGGGAGGTTACACGCTTCGGAATGTTCCCCGCTGTTGGTGTTATGAGGTATTTCTGAGCGTGTGTGAGAGAGAGAGCGCACCCTTGTTTCCCAGCTTTTCCATTAAATCCTATGATTCAAACCATTACTGAATTTGTTACCTTATCACAGACAGCGGTTGCAGTTGGGGTGGAACTGGATAGCAAGTTGCCTGAAAATGACTACTTCTATGATTACTATGGCCCATTTTTCACTCTTGAAATTGAACAAATGCTCTTTGAAAACAAGAACTCATCCAGCGATTTGGAGAAACTCAGGTGATTTTAAGTACTGTGAATTCACTCTTGAAATAATTTCATAAAATTTCTGAAATTTTTATTTATGTTTTATTCTATGTGTTCTGTAACTAATTGTAAATGGAAAATATGTGGATATCTTACAATTACATAGCTGTCCATGTGCTTCTGTTAGGTTTATATTTCATTATTTTTATTGTTTGTAGCTTCCTTATGTGATTACCCCTACTCTGCCTTAATGTTCTAGTTCACCAATTATATCTTTTCTATATAATGCATGTTTAGTTATTCATTTTTGGGGTGCATCATGTTTTCTGGGGTTCTTTTTGAGCTCTTCCCGTTCTCCGTTGCTATGAATTTTAGGAATATGTACTTTGCAACATGGTTTAAATGTAAGGAAGGATATATTTGGTGCATTTCAAGTGCATACCTCTTGTTTGTGCTTGCTCATGGAGCCCCCGTCCCCTCTCCCTATTTTCTGCTTATTTGCAGTGGAATTGGTTTTGGGTCCATTGTGAAATGTACAGTGATGGGAATTTTGTTTGACATTGAGATCTGCAATACAGGAACGGGCTGCTCGAGCAAATTTCCAGATTAGCACATGCCCCTAGTGTACAATTTCAAACAGTGCCACCTGTTATGCCAGTTCCAAAAAAGGTTTGTAACCGGTGGCACTATCATCTGGATCATGTTCTTTGGATATTGTTTCTTCATCATTTTACCTCATGTTTATTCTGATCTCATTAGAGGATTTCTGGATGTAGGAAGAGGAAGATTGGGATATAAAACCAAAAATCCCAATATGTAGTGGTGCGCCTTACGAGTCTGATGATGAGAAGCCTCAACATAGAACCTTGAACACTGATGGACAGTCTAGTTCAAATGTTAATACGAGGTAAGTCTTGAGCTTGTCATGTTGATCAATGTGGTACTCATGAAAGGGTTTCTAGATATGTCTGTTTCCGAAATTGACTCATCTGATGCTTTGCATGAAGCGGCTCTGGGTGGAATTCTGCTTAGTTCTTACACGAGCAACTCCATGCGCCTATGTGTCTTATCTGATTGCCTTCTGTTTTTCCATTTGTTTTTTTTTTTTTTTTGGGGGGGGGGGGGGGATGATCAAGGGGGCTGAATCTGTGAAAGTCTTGGGGACGTGTATTGTGCTTTGCCATGGGCTGAGCTTAAGAGAAACATGATCCAAATCACTCCATTCGTTGCTAATTATCATTTCAACTAACAATTAATGCCTTCCTAAGTTCTGCTTTTTATTCCCATATTGAGTTGATTTTTTGTGATTTCTTGACACAGGTTTATTCCAGGTAAAGTCAAGGAAGAGAAAACGACAGATCCCTAGTTCAAACCTCTCTACATTCATTAGACATGAGATCTTCCCCGAGAATGGTTATCATTCATGGACAACGGGTAATCTCAAATCATTTGAAGAGCTGTTAGGAGTGTACATAATTTTCTCATCCCTTAGTCTCGATTTTGTTTCTCAGTTTTAGCCTTCTTTACTCGGGTTAGTGTTACTTACAGGTTATACACAGAAAGATATACTGACACTTGCCTTCAGCAGACAGATTGTTCATAGAAAAATATACAGATACATACTTACATTGTGCCGCAACATTTGCCTCAGTAAAGGGAAGCCCTCAATTTTGTAGTATGAATATAAATCACTTTGTGCAGGCCTTATAAAAGAGTAGTTGTTAAAGTGTAAAAGCTTTTCTTTTTGGGTAATGGTCATATGTTTGCCATGAACATTTCTGGAGAACAAATCTTTTGCATTAGAATTTGTTTTGAAGGGCAGAATCTGGACAGAACTCTCCCCAGACGTCACAATGGCAGGAGCCTCCCGTTTTCAATCTGGACAAAACATACCCTGTCACCAAAGCGTTATGCTCATTTGTTAACATGTTAGAAATTTGGTTTGACACTTGGTGATATGATCGGCTCCTGCAATTTCTCAAAGATTATTTTTAGTTGGCTGGAAGTCATCTTCTATAAATGGGTGCTGGATTTAGATTGATGTCTGTGATATGCAATGAAAATAAAACTGAATTTTCAATTTACAATGTACCGAATGAAGCCGAGCATCAGGGTCTTTGGTCCGTTCATTCGCAAAGACTGATTGGGGTCAGCTTGGAACCGTGTTGAGTTTTGTGCATCTTGCTTAGGTTTGGTTCGTTAATTTTTTGTTAGGTAAAAGACAAAAAAGGCCTCTGATTTTTGCCTCCAATTTCAATGGAGTCCTTAAACTAAATTTTATTTCAATTGAACCCTTGAACTATTAATTTATTTCAATTAAGTCCCTCAATCTGCTCTTGTCCTTCAAAACTAACTAGCAAACCAATAACGTGACTTTCACGTGGATTGTTGAGGGGGGCATCTTCAACATAGTCTTGGGAGAAAGATCAATGGATACGGCTAGAAGAGAGTGATTGAGGCGACTGACCAACAAAGATGACTAAAAAAATAGAGCACAACGGAGATGATTGAAAGAGAGCGAAAGAAACAATAGAAGGAGGAAAGAGATGGAGAAAAATCACTTAATATTCTGTGACTGTGGGAAAAATGCAATTATTTACGAAGACATCTTGGACTATTCATAATCTAGATAAGAAGTTTCTTAATTGTCCTGACATGGTAATTATATGGGCATTTCAAAACAAGTCACGTGAAAAGTCACATGTTTTTTGTTTTCATGGACGGAAGAAGTTAATTGAAACAAATTAATAGTTTAAGGGCTCGATTGAGATAAAATTTAGTTTAAAGACTTAATTGAAACTAGAGACAAAGTCCAGTGACCATTTGTGTCTTTTACCCCTTTTTTTTTTTTTTTTGGTTCAAATTGAAGCTCAGAGAGAGAGAGAGAGAGTGAGAGAGAGAGAGAGAGAGCTCTTCCAACTGTGGTGCCATGAAACCAGTACTTGCCCAAAGTTTCGTTTCCCTCCAAATCCAACCGTTTATTCCTCACCCCTTTCAATTTTCCCACCATTCTCTCTCACCCACCCCCTCAAAGCTCAGTATCTCTCCCAAACCCCTCTCAAACCCAACCACTTTCAGACAATCAACAATCAAATCGCAAAGAACCCACATCTCCGATCCCCAACCGACGACCCAAGACGAAGGCATTCCCATTGATCTCGTCAAAACCCTAGTCAAATTCAAGTCCAGGCATAACTACATTCGAGTTCTTGAAGTCTCCAGAAAAGCCGACCACCCATTTGCTGGCTCAAGGCTTCTCTTACTTGATGGCCCTGGGAACATCCATAGCATCTCTTTCCTTTTCAAATCACTCACCAACACGTACTTCGATGTGTTCGCTACATTGCCTCCAATCTTGCCTCCGGGACCAGTGGGAATTCTGGGATTCGGAGCTGGATCTGCCGCTCGGTTGATCTTGGCAATGTACCCACAAGGGGTTATTCATGGTTGGGAGCTTGATCCTTCAGTGATTTCAGTGGCAAGAGAGTATTTTGGCCTCTTGAAGCTTGAAAAACAATACCCAGATAGGCTTTTCATATACATTGGCAATGCATTGGATGCTAGTGTTAGTTGCGGATTTTCGGGTATGTTGGTTGATTTGTTTAGTAAGGGTTGTTTGATTCCTGAGCTACAAGATCCAAGAACATGGGAGAGATTGAAGAGGAGGTTGAGGGAAGGTGGGAGAATAATGGTGAATGTTGGTGGCAGTTGTGTTGAAGCAGAGGATTCACGAAGAGATGGGAAGGTGACAATGGAAGAGACTTTGGAGGCAATGCATAAGGTCTTTCCGGGGGAGGTTTGTGTTTTGAGTCTTGGAAATCGAAAGGATGATAGCTCTCTTGCTCTTACCGGAGAATTGCCGGATGCAAATGCATGGAAGATGGCATTGCCCAAATCTTTGAAGATTTATGTTGATATGTGGGAACCCATTAATGGGTGAATTTGATTTCTTCTCCTTCATGCTTCGATTTGTGGTGTTTGTGGTTTGGATGTTTTATAATTCTATAGGAATGGTTTATTCAAGGGATTTAAGAAGGAAGGAAGAAGTATTCAAGAACCAGAGTGGTTATGCCGTCCTTGTGTTTGCTTTTATTACAATATGAAAGTCAAGAAGACAAATATATAGATTTCTACAATTTCCGCCAGCTGCTTGAAAGATGCTGGAACCAATAGTACCCCAAGGAAAGGATCAACAATGCAAGAATTTCATCAGGGAAACTGACTGATCTAATCTTCCAAGTTATAAAATCTTTTTGGAATTATTTTGGGTTACTGGTTGAATATCGTCTCTCCGTATCGACAATAAAGGTGGACCATTTACGTAAGGACTAGAGTATTCATGAAGTCTCTCACGACTTAGTTCTAAGAAATTATTAACATTCGAACTTAATACGTCTGAGTTTATAATTCGTCTTTATTATCACTTGAACTTCTTTGAATTTCTTGCCGCCATTGTACAAATAGCTAACCGTTTTGCTTGGTATTTTGCTTAAGGTACAATGTGATTAAAGGGAAATCAAGCAAAGGTGTATAGGAGGAAAAGTGGGTCTCAAAGGCGGACCTACAATTCGATACTTTCCGGGCATTGCTGCCCGAAAGAGAACCCATAGAACCTTGTTAACTACACCTCCCACTCCCACCTAGTGTTTTCCCTGCTTGAGAAAGTAGGGAGACAAGCGAAAATCAAGCATAGATTGAGAGGAGTAAAGTGGATCTCAAAGGCATTACTCATAAATATATAAAATCCAAGAATTTTTTAGACTAGTGGAGTACCTTTAGAACTTGAGTTGATAATCAAGCTGAATTTTATAAGTTGGATTTGAATCTATTAAGTTTATTTTTTTAAACGAATTTAAAAAATTATTTAAATTCAGTTCATTTAAAAAATGAGTCAAGCCCAAACTAAGCCTAAAGCTAGTCGAACTTCAATAATTCAACTATTTTACTAAAAACAAGTCGTGATTTACGAGTTTAAATCAAGAATGAATCTAAAAAATTACTGAAGCATGACTCGAGTATCAGCACATCTTATTAATCACACATTACAGTTCCACCTCAAAGCCTATAGGGGTCACGGGCCTCCAAAAGAAACCCGTGGAACCTTAGTAATTTAGCATAGGAGACCATTTTGGGCCTTTGCTAGCTGTGTGGGTTCCAATAGGTCTAACTTAAAAGAAGTGTATTGGGCTTTGGTTGGAGTTGAGCCATTGTACTCTAACAGATCAAAAGCATCCAAGACTCGGCACTGAAAAGCTTTCTTCACAACATGTAAATTTAGGATGGATCTCATATTCTTAGAAAACTATCAAAGATTAAGGTAATAAAAGGTTTTTAGATATCGGTTCAAACCCCAGGTTTTCAAATATCTGGTCCGAGATACAAATTCAACTAGTTTTAACAACTTAATTATTTGTCAAGTGTATGGCGGTTAAAAGAATCATGATAAATTTTTTTCTCATAAATATCTTAGTCCCAACGTGGATGATCTGTCTTTGACAGGACCGGGGAGAGCATTAATTGAGGTACGAGGAAACTGGTTAGAACACTCTGATTGTTGAGCTAAAAAAAAAAGTATAAAAGAAAATAAACATTTTATGCTATCGCCCATGCTTGAATGTTTGAGGTCTATAAAATGAAAATTGGAAAAAGCCTGCTCAAAGTAGGACACATACATATATAAATTAGGGTTACTTTGTACTAGGAATCAGAATCATGTTACTAGGGTTGGAGTATGTTCCCTCACCTTCTCTCCTAGAAGTAGGCTTTGGAGGTTTTTTGAGAGTGTGTCAAAACAAGAAAAATGCCCAGAGAAAGCATGTGTACCCATATGTTGTTGCATTGAGAAATTGCTTTTACTTGAAAAGATTGCTATAAGGGGCCCCTAGACTAGTGAATTGATTACTTCTAGGCAGTACCTTTCCACATTGAGCTCTTGAATTGTCCAAAATTGGTACCCCTTAGAGATGCAGAATAGCCTCATCTCTATGCAGCTAGGAGAGCCCAATCTCAGTTTAAGCTTGCTTCACTCCAATTGTCAGCTATAATCCTCCTTTTTTTGCACCCACTTCATCAAAATTTGGCTAGTCTAGAACACAAACTAGTTAATTTGTTGAGGAAAATCCTTAAAACAAAATTTTGTTTCTTTAGTGGTAAATAAGGCTGTTAAATTATTTGGGTCTGGCCCGATTTGGCTCAAGCTTGGGGTTGTGAATGGCTGTTCAAGCTTGACGCGAGCTCGGTTAAAATTTGTACCAAGTTGAGTTTGAACAATTATTTGGATTTGATGATCGAGCTCGAGCTGAGAATAAACAACTATTCGCAATCCTGAACCGAGCCTAAGCAAGTCATAACTCGGAAAGTTCGGCTCGATTATCACTTTTTGTGGTAAAGTACTTAGAACATAAGAATCTAAAACTATAACTTTTGCTTTAAATTAATGTCATTTAACCACGGAGAGAACTTAGATCTAGAGCAATGACAAATCCTCGTTTTACCCGAATAATACTTCAGTTCTATGAGTAATGAAATTAACTTCTCTAAAATGGTATAAGACTGTCTTCTACTTTTTCTCCCAAACTCCTATAGTCGGCCAATTTGGGCTTAAAGTTTAAACCCTGCTTGGCTGAGTCCTTACTATTGTTCCACTTTCTACTTGTTGACTGAGCTAGAATAATATGATCCCACTTAAAAAAAATGGGATAGCTATATATAATTAAATTAAATAATGCTACTGCAGCTTAATTATCAAGTGTCACATCATTTAAGCTTGTATTTTGTATTAGATATTTAAATGCCACTAACATGTCACCAGTCTAATACTTCTGACTTGTAACCTAATCAGCTTCCTTTTGGCTGCTCTACCAAACTGTACCTAGCTTGAAAAGCTAATCTTAATCTTCACAACAACCTTTTTTTACCTAATGAACTCAGAGTCAGAACATAAGCAGTGACTAAACCTAAGACATGGTTGAAAAGATAGTTTTTTTAACCCTAGTTCAATACCTGTCGGCAGGATAGATCGATCTCTAGACTCTACAAAGGTGCTAGAGATTGTACATAATAATAATATTTTGATAATATGATTTTTGAACAGATTTTTCACCTTCACTGGCTGGACAACACATGTTTAGAAGTTAGTGGGGGTTAGACTCTCGGCTACTACGCTAGTTTTTGTTTGACCATTACACGTGTTGTGAAGCCAATGCATTCGACATTTTCGAAGAGGCTTTTCTTCCCATAGAGCAAGATAATCTGGCGGGGAGGTAAGTCCCTTGAAGTTACCTTCTGTCGCTTCACTCGTTTCTTTCTTGTTTTTTTTTTTTTTTTTTTTTTTGTGGTGATAATGGGAAAGTATTTCGACCACACACTCTTATTACAAATTTTGGATGCACGTAATCTTCTGCAAACGACGCGTATTAACTAAGCCTAGAGTTTTTCTACCTTGAAGTTTCCTTTTGTCGCTTTGCTTGTTTTTTTTTTTTTGGGAAACTATTTCAACCGCAAATCCTTAATGCAAATCTTGGATGCACGTAATCTTCTGCAAACGACGCGTATCAACTATGCCCGGAGTTTTTTTCTGAACAAGAGGACTCGAACTCATGACTTGCAAATTTACACAACTTACCCCTTTCTCGATCACTAAATCAACCAATATGAGTTAATTTCACTTCAACACTAAATGACACAGGTTATTTTTTACTTCAAACCTCAGATGATTATCTTGATAAGATGAATGTAGGCCACATTTGACAACTTGAGCAATAACTGTGATTATAATCATCTTGCTAGAAAGCACTTAAGCATCTCAGTTCACCACTTGTGGACAGAATACATCACAGAAAACTCACCACCAGAACAGAAGCTTCATTAAGATTGTCCATAACACAAAGATTTTGACATGATGAAACTTCTGGGTGAAATTGTTTCTTAGTTCAACACCAAGTGCAAGAGATTATAATGTCCAACAATAAGATGATTATGAAGATAAGGTGAATATTGGCCACTTCTGACAAGAGTTGGCTATATATGGTAAGACTCAAAAAAACCAATTCTAAGTGGAAGGATGAGTGTTGTTTTATATGGCAAAAATCTTCTTGATTAGATGACTACAGATTGCATTGAGTCTCAAATAAACCAATGATATATGCTAAATGGTCCATATTCTTTGTCTATTTACTATTGTTCATACTAAGAGCGGTAATTTTTGAAACGACACATTTACATGAAATCCGTGAACTTCGGTTTATTTGTTTTCCACATTAAGCCAAATTGCTAACATAAACAAGTTTGACATGTATAGTGTGAACAAACTTTCCAATCGTTTTCATTCTTTTTTATTTTCTTGATCTAATATTATATAAATGCTTTCTATAGCATAGAAATTTTTACTTGGTTCGGTAAGCATCTGGTCTGAGTGGTTTTTTAAATGTTTGGAAAGCTTTTGAGTGGTTAATTGAGAGAGCATAAGATCATAATTTAAAATTTTTGGTTAATGAGTTATGCTTGCCAATCCCAATACCACACGAAAAACAAGTTGGGTTAATTTTATTCTACTGCATGATACGCTGTACTGTTCTCTTACACTGAACTGTTTACAAAACAACGTCTGTTTATGTCTCATATGATAGACCATCTGGGGGAACAACATCTCTCTAAACTTCAGTGGAGCTTTACCTACGCATGTGTAAATGCTCAATCAACTGTATAGGCCAGTAAGAGCCATTCTAATCATTAGTGTCTTGCTTCATTTCTATTTGTTAATCATCTTGGTTGGCTGGCCAATTTGCTCTCATCATCCCTTCCGTTTAAAGAAAGGTAGGATTCCAAATAATCGATTTTTCTTTCAGTATTTTTTTTATCAGCAAAGGACCAATCTTATTAAGTAGCCATTCTGAGTGGGCATACGAGACTAAGCGAACCTTACTAATATTTTGCTAAAAAACTAAAAGGATGCGTATGAGATGGCGGGCATTAATAGCTGTAAGTCGAAGATAAGGTAACGAGTAGTGATGGCTTAAATTTTTTTTGATTGATCAATACGTGATAGTCCAAATCCACATTACTAATGAAATCCAAATGATCTCTGAATTGATCAGAAGATCCTTTCAATTGACAAGAATTTGTTACTTGAACAAAACTAGATTTTGTGGAATCATATTGAATATTTGACGATGCATTCCTTACCTTGCTAAAAAATTGATGCTTGTTCACCTTTCCCAACCGCACATTGTCTAACCAAATCAAATACTTTCTCTCATACTTTCAGAATTTTTGAAAAGAGAAACGAAAATGAAGATTTTAATTAAAATAAGATACATCTGGAACTTGAATGTGAAAAGATGTTGGGGAAAAAATAACAAAAAGCATTATCCCAGGG